AGCTGTGTATCCTTGGGTAAATTACTTAATTCCTCTGAGCCTCAGTTCCATTATATGTAAAATGGGAATAATACAGGTTAAGTATCCCTTATCCAAAATGCTTGGGACCGGAAGTGTTTTGGGTTTCAGATTTTTTTTTTGATTTTGGAATATTTGCATTATACTTACCAATTGAGCATCTCACATCTAAATCTCTGAAATCTGAAATGCTCCCAAATCCTAAACTTTTCAAGTGCTCTTTTGGAGCATTTCAGATTTTTGATTTTTGGATTTGGGATGCTCAAATAGTACCTTTATACTAGGATGGTTGTGAGATTAAATGAGTTAATACATGTGAGGAGTTTTAAATGATTTCAGGCACATAACAGCAAATACTTATACCGTACTGCTCCTTATTAGTAGTAGTAGTAGTAGGCTCAGGAAATCTTAGAGGCTTATCTGGGGTACCCAGAGTTTCTGACTCTGAAACCAGTGCTTGGGGCCCGAGGAAAGGTCCCTGAGAGGCCCCCTGGCATGTCCTCCACCCTGGCAGGCTGGGTTCCCAGCTAGGCTGTCCTTGCTCCCCTCCTCCCGCTGCCCTCTCCTGTCCCTCTGCCTGTGACTGCCTGGTCCCTTGTGACCTCTGAATTCCCCTTTCTTGTGGAAACTCCCCCATCCCAGAGTGTTTCCTCTGAGAGGCGTAAAGCACATCTTCTCAGAGAATCCCATGAGTTTTCCTGGAAAAACCCCATAATTCATGGCCTGAGTTCTTAGGCTCACCTGCAGATGCATTTGTCACCCTGGGCTGTGGCCACCTGAAGGTTTGGCAGTAGATCTTGCCCTCGACTGTTCTCTCCATAAGGCCGGGGTTGTGCCCGGGTCCCTGCAGCCCCTTCCCAGGCCTGGTGTGCGATGGAGCTAGGGAAAAGTTGGTCAGATGAGGGACTGTCTGACCACCTTAGCCACAGGGTTGCTATGGAAAGCCAAATGGCATATTGATCTGTCCATGGACTCTGGAGCTGGACTGCCTGGATTTGAATCCCATCTCTGCCTCTAACCTCTGGGTACAGGGTTGCTATGGAAAGCCAAATGGCATATTGATCTGTCCATGGACTCTGGAGCTGGACTGTCTGGATTTGAATCCCATCTCTGCCTCTAACCCCTGGGTGTACTTGGGCAGGAAAACTGATATCTCCAAGCCTCAGTTTCCTAACCCATAAAATAGAGATGATGGTGATACCTAATTCATAGGGAGCTCTTAGGACCAGGGCGATGTCACTTAGCACATTCTCTGGTCAGGTTAGGCTTGGCTTTGGGGGTTTCTGAGGGAAGCTGGGATTCCAGCCTTCTCAGCCTGATCCCAGGGCATTTTCTCAATGAGAAAATGAGTCAGCCAACACTTACCGGACAGACTTTGCCATGACGGAACTGTGGCACACTTTGCTGTTCCCAAGTACCTCCTCAGTGCGCATCCTGGGCACTGGGCAGAGGAAATTCTGCTCACATCTACCACCTCTCTCTGAATCATCACAGCATCCTGACAAGCTGCTATTATTAGCTCCTATTACAGAGGAGGAAATGGAGACTCAGAGAGGGGGAGTGCTTTGCCCAAGGTCACACAGCTGGTGAGTGGCACAGCCAGGCTCTGAGCCAGGTGTGCCCAGTTCTGGAGAAGCCTCCAGACCTTAGACTGTGACAATGAGACCTCCCGAGACACCATCCCTGAGTCAGGAGTGGTGCCTGGCTCCTTGGGCAACAAAGATGGGCCTCCCCAAGCCTCCAGTCTATATCATGAGGCTCGTCACATGGCAGGACGAGACCTGGGTTAGGACACCAGCCTTTGCTGAGGATGGCAGCAGATCTNAGGGTTGCTATGGAAAGCCAAATGGCATATTGATCTGTCCATGGACTCTGGAGCTGGACTGCCTGGATTTGAATCCCATCTCTGCCTCTAACCTCTGGGTATACTTGGGCAGGAAAACTGATATCTCCAAGCCTCAGTTTCCTAACCCATAAAATAGAGATGATGGTGATACCTAATTCATAGGGAGCTCTTAGGACCAGGGCGATGTCACTTAGCACATTCTCTGGTCAGGTTAGGCTTGGCTTTGGGGGTTTCTGAGGGAAGCTGGGATTCCAGCCTTCTCAGCCTGATCCCAGGGCATTTTCTCAATGAGAAAATGAGTCAGCCAACACTTACCGGACAGACTTTGCCATGACGGAACTGTGGCACACTTTGCTGTTCCCAAGTACCTCCTCAGTGCGCATCCTGGGCACTGGGCAGAGGAAATTCTGCTCACATCTACCACCTCTCTCTGAATCATCACAGCATCCTGACAAGCTGCTATTATTAGCTCCTATTACAGAGGAGGAAATGGAGACTCAGAGAGGGGGAGTGCTTTGCCCAAGGTCACACAGCTGGTGAGTGGCACAGCCAGGCTCTGAGCCAGGTGTGCCCAGTTCTGGAGAAGCCTCCAGACCTTAGACTGTGACAATGAGACCTCCCGAGACACCATCCCTGAGTCAGGAGTGGTGCCTGGCTCCTTGGGCAACAAAGATGGGCCTCCCCAAGCCTCCAGTCTATATCATGAGGCTCGTCACATGGCAGGACGAGACCTGGGTTAGGACACCAGCCTTTGCTGAGGATGGCAGCAGATCTGGCCCTGCCCAGGCGTCAGGGGCACAGGAACCAGGCAAGAGGTAGAGGTCATAGCTCTTCCTCCCGCCTCCCAGCACCCACATGTTGTCTCCTGACCAGAATCCAGAATCATTCAGGAAGTTCTGGCCCTGGCTGATGGTGGGCGGAGGGCAAAGGTCACATTCCTGCTCCTTCCCCCATCCCAGAGACTCAACTTCAGTCAAGACTGAAAGTAAAACAGAAGTCCCATAGGTTCCATCTACTAGGGCTTTTTGTTTTGTTTCACCCTTTAGATATTTACTTTCTTTATCCTACCCTGAAAATCTGTTACTTTTACAACATACAGAAAATGCACAATAAAAAAATGAGGGAGGAAAAGCACTCGTAATTCCATCTGCCAGGAGGACCCAGAACCACCATGTGGGCAAGATCGGTGCCGGGGCTTCCTCCCTCCCCTGAGCTCTTTGCCTGGCAGAGTTGAGCTCGGTTAGTAGGCCAGTTAAGATCCTGCCTCCTCTTAACCTGTTATTGTGACATCGGCCCTTTTCCCAGTCACACTGCTCTGGCATGAATGCAGGGCTCGCGCAACAAGTCTGAGGACCCTGACCTGTCCTGTGACCTTGCTTATAGGTCACGTACTTTACATTCACAGATGTTGGGATTGATGATGAACCCCCAGCTGTGCTATGAATGCACCTAGAGAAGAAAACTAGGCCCAGATAGGTGAAGGGACTGGCCCCACGTCACACAGCTGGAAGCAGCTGGGTTTTCCAGCCTCTGTCCCCTCTTCTGCCTGCTCTGCTGTTTGCTTCTCACTCTGAATCCCCATCTCAGGGGGATTCAGTCATTCATTCACAGCTTCCCTCCCTCCTTTACCCCTTCTTTCATCCCATTTGACAAAACAGTCTATGCCGGGCCTGTGCGGGGCTCTGGGGCTGTAACATAGGACAGATCCTTCACTGTCCTCGAATAAATAGTTGAAGAACTCTTGCTTGCCCGTACATTGGGAACGATGATGAATGCCCAGTCGTGCTGGGAATGCAAAGGATGGGGTAACCAATACATTGGGAACGATGATGAATGCCCAGTCGTGCTGGGAATGCAAAGGATGGGGTAACCAAAACGTGGCAGGGAGGACTTCCTGGTGGAGGAAACAGCATATGCCACTGCCCCGAGGCTGGAGGGAGCATGGAGTGCTGGAGGCCAGTGTGGCTGGAGCAGAGTGTGTAAGGAGGTGGTTAGGGGCCAGACCCTGCCGGCCAAGAGCCATGGCCAGAGTTCTGGCCTTCACCTCAAGAGCCACAGGGAGCCATCGAAGGTTTATCAGAGAAGTATTGATGTCAGCTTTGCATTTTAGAGTCTCCTCTGGCAGCTGGGATGTGAGGGAGCCCAAGTGGATGTGGGATGACCTGCAAGGTGGTGACATTGTCCAGTCAAGAGGGGCTGGCACACACCCTCGCCACCTGGACAATGGGTACAGTGCTCCCTGGGGTACAGATGGGGCATGTGCGGGCCCAGAGCAGAACAGATATTCCCAGGGCCTCAGCGTGTCACCTGACCCCTCTTCCCTCTGTCCACAGTGCTGCGGTGCCTCGGCATCCCTACCCGTGTGGTGACCAATTATAACTCGGCCCACGACCAGAACAGCAACCTGCTCATCGAGTACTTCCGCAATGAGTTTGGGGAGATCCAGGGTGACAAGAGTGAGATGATCTGGTGAGGTGGGGCCCAGTGCAGAGGGGCCCATGGAGAGGAAATCTGGGAAGGCTTCTTGGGGGAGAGGTCACATTTGAATTGGACCTTAAGAGTTGAGCAGTGTTTGGGCAGGGGGAAACAGGGCTTGAGGAGGGAAAGTCAGCCACTATGCATGGAGGGGCATCAGGGAAAAGGTAGTCAGGAGTCTGGAATGCCAAGTTAGGGAGCCTGGGCTCGATTCTGAAGTGGGTGGGTTGTCACTCAAGGCTTCAGAGTGGGAGAAGTCTGTGCTGATGACTGTGGACCACGAGCTCTAGACAGGGAGAGGTTGGAGGCAGGGGCTAGGGTGTGGTCCAGGTGAGTGGTGATGAGGCCTGAACCAGGGCAGGGTCTAGGGGCCTAGAAAGGAAGGGATGGAGCCAAGAAACTAAGAGGTCAAATCAGCCAGACTCAGGAGCCATTGAAAGGGGAGTGGAGTGAGAGAGGAGGTGAGAAGGGCCCCAGGTATAGGGGTGAGCGCCTGGCGGGGAGGTGCTGCTAGGATGAGCCCACAGGAGCAAGAGCAGGAGGAATGCGAGGCCCTGCTGGGTCCAGCACAGGACAAGATGAGTGTGCATCTGTGTGACATGCATCGGTAGCCTGCCTGCAGGAGGTGACAATGAATATTGCCAATATTCTGCTTTGTTTCCCCACCAGGAACTTCCACTGCTGGGTGGAGTCGTGGATGACCAGGCCAGACCTGCAGCCAGGGTACGAGGGGTGGCAGGCCCTCGACCCAACGCCCCAGGAGAAGAGCGAAGGTAGGTGGGCATGGCCCCGTGACCCACCTGAGGAACCCGAGGCCCAGAGAGTTAAAGTGACTCACTCATTTCTAGGATGGGCAGTGGCAGAGCTGGAATTCCCACCCAGAGACCACTGACTGGTCCACCCGAGGTGGGGGACCTCACTTGTATTTTCATAGGATGCTCCTTTTATAATAAGAAAAGTAACTCATGTGCATTGTGGAACATGGAAAATACGGAGAAGCACAAAGAAAAACATCAAATAGTATCTTCATCCTTTTCCCCCAAAATAAGCATCATTAACATTCACACACAGCTTTCAATAATTCCAAATTATACGTTTACATGTGTGTATATATGTGTGTGTGTGTGTGTGATATATATAGTGTGTTAGAGAGAGACAGAGAGGAGAGCACGCCAAAGCAAAATTTGGTAAACGACATGGACCCTTTCTCAGAATATTTTTAAATGCATAGACTATAATGCGTAGGATTACAAAGAAAAGCAATTACACTAAAATATAGTTATCAAAAGTTTTTAAAAATAAATTTATGATACAATATATGCTTCTTTATATAACAAGATCCAGTGTAGGGCTGGTAAGTTCCATAATATAATGGTAGAGATGAGCATAATGACATATCCTGTTACCTGTGACAGCTAGAAGTGATATGAAAACAGCTGTGGTTCCTGTGAGTGACAGGTCACGAGTGCTCCTAGGGTTTCTGCGGTTTGTTGCCTGCTTTTGCAATTGAAGGAAGTGCTATCAAAGTATAGTGAAAATAGAGATGTCATTTTTTTTCCCACCCAAGTTCATGGACCCCTGAATTCTGTTGGTGGTGTCTTGGGGGTCCGGGGACGCAGGTTTAGGAACTCCAGCTGCAGGTAGCCTTTTTTCCCAGTTCTGACCACTTTTCAGGGTATCGTTAGCATTTCTTCATCAGATGGTTTTCTGTGATTTGAATTTTAATTTGACGTTACTATGTTCCATCACATGGGTGTACTGGAAGATATCTGCCCAGCATCTTGTCCTTGACATGGAAGTCTGCAGACAGTGTGAGGTGGTTGTAAACCACATTGAGATGAACTTCAGGTGCTCTTGTTCGTTCAGTCAACACATACCTCCTGAGGTGGGCACTGACTTCACCTCTCAGTATGAGCAGTAAACAGGGCAGATGACCTCCTTTCTAATACTGCCTGCTGCTTGGCTCCTTAATTCCTGCAGGATGCATATTTTATTTATCAAATACTTGCATAGCATTTAGTATATGCTAAGAACTTTACATCTAGAACTCGCGAGTCCTCATTAGGTAGGTCCAGGTATTAGCCCCACCTGAAACTGCAGCTTGGAGAAGTTCATGACTAGTCCCAAGTCACATGACTATTTAGGCTGAGCCGAGATTTGAACCCTAAAAGGTAGGCTCCAGATTTCTTGTTCTGGACCCTCACCCTATGGTGCCATCCTAGAAATGGAGCACCTGAGTAAAAGGGCTGCATAGTCTCAAGATTTTTTGCTATATGTGGTTGGATTTTGGAGGGTTTTGGAGGGCGCCCCCCCATCCCAGGCCCATCTCTCCCTCCTCCTACTCCAACCAGGGACATACTGCTGTGGCCCGGTTCCAGTGCGTGCCATCAAAGAGGGCGACCTCAACACCAAGTACGATGCACCTTTTGTCTTTGCCGAGGTCAACGCTGATGTGGTGGACTGGATCCAGCAGGATGATGGGTCCATGCACAAATCCGTCAACCATTCCCTGGTTGTGGGGCTGAAGATCAGCACTAAGAGCGTGGGCCGCGATGATCGGGAGGACATCACCCACACCTACAAATACCCAGAGGGTAAGTGCCTGCTCTCTCAGAGCCTTTAACACGGCCTTGCAGATAAGCACCCCATTTTACTAGCCCAGCAGGTATATGTGTGTGTGTGTGTTTTAATTGGCAGCATGCATATAACGATGACCTGTAAATTCCACTCCGTTTTAAGAAATTCCTTAGAAACAAGAGCAAATACATTGGGGGATGGTAGTAGAGGATTATTCATTTAGGAAAAGAATTCTATATTCCACAAAAGGAGTTAATTCAGTTTTTAAGTTTCACTTTTTTGGTTGGTTTGACTCTTCATAAAACTGAGGGGGGATAGCTGTTATATAGCAGAGGCATGCATCTTAACAGAAAAGTCGATAATGTCCATGTTGTATATCATATTGTTTATTAACAGTATTTCTCAGTAGTGTGACCTGAAACTACAGGTGAGCAATTTCATGCTTTTTTATTGCAATGTATTTGTACTAGAGAGGCCGTGGAGGAGAATTTCCTGGAACTTTTCAGTGTTTATTTTTGCAGTATTTGATATAAACCTGGGGGAGTGAGCATGAAGGTGTGTGGGGAAGGGTTAAATCAGAGAGAAATGGACCAACAGAAGCGTAAAGATAACATAACGAGTTCAATCAGACACAAGGTGATGCATCTTTCTGCTACTGATGTTAAACCAGTAGAGGAAAAAAGGACTTGGTTTATTTTCAAAAATTGGATTCGAGTACATCCAACAACTGATTTAATACAATAGATATTTTCGAAGCATCTATGTGTCGCCAGGCACAGTGGAGCTCACAGAGGCTGAGAAACCATGGTTCCTGCCCTGGTGTGACCCCCACTGACTTTCCAGGGCTGACTGAGGCTTGGGTATTTCGTGGCCATCCTCTGTCTGGAAAGGATAAAACAGGAAGGAAAAGATGCTTTCCCTGGCCTTCGAAAGGTCTAGAGCTGATGATTTGACAGAAGAAATAGAGATGCACCCACCAACACTGGGAAAAAATAAAAGGATCATAGGAGAGAGGTAAAGTGAATGTAAAGAAGAGGATAGTCATTCCCACCAGAGAACACGTACAGTAGAGAAGGGTAGGGAGAAGATTGCAGGTAGAAGTAATCCCTGTGCAAATGCTCGGAGGTGAGAAACTTTGCACTGTATTTGTGCCTAGTATGCACCAAGAACTGTTATAGGCACTGGGGGGATGACATAAAAATAAGTAAAACACAGCCTTAGCCCTCAAACAACTCAAGGCCTTAAGCACATAAACAAAACAAAACTCCTTGGAAAGGAGTGGTCAGTGAAGCTCCCTGGAGGAGAGGTCATTTGGGGCTGGGTCTTGAGGGATGTATAGGAGTTCATTTGTGGAAAGTAAATAAAATACTCTTTCCTCCTCCTGGCACAGAAATGTGGAGAAGGGGCTCCTTCAGGACTGCCATGAGTCACCAGTACTCTGAGAAGCCAGCTTGCCCTGTCCCAGCCCTCTGCCCGCTGATCCTATTCCAGCTGTGATTGGGGCTCTCTTCTCATCCCTACAGGGTCCCCAGAGGAGAGGGAAGCCTTCACGAAGGCCAACCACCTGAACAAACTGGCCGAGAAGGAGGAGACGGGGGTGGCCATGCGGATCCGCGTGGGCCAGAGCATGAACATCGGCAGCGACTTTGACGTCTTTGCCCACATCACCAACAACACGGCTGAGGACCGTGCCTGCCGCCTCCTGCTCTGTGCCCGCACTGTGAGCTACAATGGGGTCCTGGGGCCGGAGTGTGGCACCAAGGACCTGCTCAATCTTTCCCTGGAGCCCTTCTCTGGTAAGGCCCTGTGTTTCTGGGGCATTTATTGAGCACCAATTGACCACAAGCTAGGTAGTGCCCTGAGCACTTATCACGTGTGATTTTACCTTACAGACACCTTACATAGCATGGACTCTGGGTCAGGCCCTGTCTTAAGCACTGTGTAAATATCAACCCATTTGATTCTTATAATAAAAGTGGGAGGTGGATTCTATCATTGTCCCTATTTTCCAGATGAGGACTCTGAGGCACAGAGAGGTTAAGTAACTTTCTTGGGGTCACACAGTTAGGAAGTGACAGGACTGAGATTTGAAGCTGTCATCTCAGTGACTGTACTATTTTGTTTCACCTCATCTTCTCATGACCCCCAGTGCTTTCCCAGACCCTCTGCTCCCCTCTTCCAGCTAATTCCTTTCCCCTCAAGCTCCTCTCCAAGGTCTCTCCCTGTGACCCCTTAGAGAACCTCTCCTATTCCTCTGTTGCTTTCAGCCCCAGAGGAGAGACTCTAGGCGTGTGCTGCCCATAGAACTTTCTGTGATGATGACGTTCTGTATCTACACTGTCCAGTACAGTAGCCACTAGCTCCACATGGCTACTGAGCCCTTGAAATGTGTCTAGTGCAACTGCAGAACTAAAGTTTTAATTTTATTTAAGTAACCGCATGTGGCCAGAAGCTGCCATATTGAACAGGACAGCTCTGATAGTGATAAGTGAAAATGTCCCAGCCTCTGCAGGAGAATTGTCTTCCTCCTGGCCTTGACCTTCTCCTCTCAAATGGCCACAGCGCTTGGCCTGGCTTCCCTGTTAGACCAACCCCATTCCCTGTGAAATAGTGTCATTAGACAACCCAGCCCTGAGCCCTGGGCAGAGGCTTTGTTGCTCAGGATTCCAGGCTGGAAGCCTGCACGGTCATTGTCTCTTGGTCTCTTTTGATATCTGGCTTTGTCACTGTGCCTGGATATCTTCCTAAAATGATTTTTAGGCTCTCAGGTCATGTCATGAGACGGCACAAAGCCAGGACTCGAGTCCAGGTCTCCTGTCCCCCTGCAGCCTGGTCCCATTTTCTCCCATATGGAGGCCTGCAGGCA